AGGGGAGGCGGAGCGGGACGGGGCCGCCGGCGTGTGAGGCCCCGGACCTGCCGCTCCCCCGGCCCGGGAGAGTTGCGGGGTCACTCGCAGTGAACCGAAGGCTCGGGGGGAGGGAGAGCGAGGAGGCCGGGCGGGCTCTCCCCTCCGCGGTGGAGTCAGCGGCGGGAGCGGCCCCAGCTCTCCAGAGACCCAGCTCGGTGTGGGTCGCCGTGAATTTGGCGGGGTGCCATCCGCGCCAAGCCTTGCTGCTACTTGGTTTCTGGCTCGACACTGACTAAATGCAGTCCTGCTTGAAAATTTTTCTTTGCGGCCTTTCTGTGTTTTGAACTAAGGCTCTTCAGATGTAAGAAATTGTCGCTTCTCTGAAGTTGGCATAGAGCAATTCCACCACGAGCCTTCCGCAGCTCGGTTTAGCATCCAACACCCTTCTGCAACAGCAACTAAGTTGTGTGGGCATTAGAGATGCCATGAAGCCAAATTAACCCTGTGGCCAGGAGAACGATGGGGAATTGGTCTTGCACAAGCAGCGTGTGGTTACACAAGTTTTGTGTACAAGATCTACGTCTATAAAAGGAAAACTATGGCATGTGCATTTAGAGGAAGTCTAGAAAAGGATGTGTAACATCTCTGAACTGCCGACTGGAGCCTCAGCCACGTACCTGCTCTTTCCTTAACAGTGATAATTATACCTTATTATCTGCATCTTATTTCTGGAACAGCCTCTTAGTTAAATAAGCTGTTTTGTGTGTGCACCAGGAATTAGCACGTCCCTTTTTTGTTTCGGCAGCTAAACCTGCTGCTCTCTCAGTTCTCCAGAGTTTCACCTGCACCAGGAGTGGCAGTCCTCTAGGGTAGACTTTACGTGAAAACTCTGCATCAGTTTAAACAAGGTTGTAGTTCGATATATCCATTTTCTGTGGTGAAACTAGTTCAGGAAGTTTCTGTCCCCACACCGCATGCTGGGGAGCCACGCCACAACACACAGTTCCACAACCAGCTTTATTGGCACACCTGAAGAGGTGTTTTGTGGCAGCGCAGGGAGACTCATTGGCTGGAATTGCTTCCAAATCCACTGAAAACTTGGTACTGCCTCCTCATACTATCTTAACAGATGTAGTTAAAATACTGCAAATCCCTTCACAGAAACATTTCAGAATTTGAGAATCAAGAGCCTCCTTGGCCATGCTGGCAGATTTACCCACTCCCGTTCTTGCCCCAAGCTGTGACCCTCTCTCATCCTGATGGATAATCAGATCTAATCTCCTGGTTTAAATATAAATTTTTTATGTAGAAAACAAAAAAAAGCTTTATATGAATTTTGCTAAAGTAGCACAATGCCTCACAGCTGCTAGTGACACTTGCCATGGCTTATTTTGGTTATGTATATGGGCTCTTTGGAGACTTCTGTGCGAGTAGCTTTGCAGTTCTACTCCAAACATGGGCATTGTCACCCGTACCATTGTGCTGGGGGAGCACAGTCCCAGTCAGATGGCTTCTCTCCCAGGGCAGCCTGGAACAGCATTGCAACCAGGTCAGCTAGTGCAAGTAGTTTCCGTAACTGGCAGGGGACTTCCAGCCCTGCATTTTTTTCCTGCAGTGACTCCCTCGCTGCCGGTAGCAGCTACAGCTCTGTATGTGAGAAGAATAAGCTTTACAGGATTAAATTCAGCTGGCTCTGAATGCAGTGTCGGTGATTTCAGCACATGGCTGGACTTACAAGCCAGTGGCACTTCTTTGCTGTAAGGTAAAACAGCTGTGTCTGAATGTCACACATTTGCACAATTTCAGGGAACAGTTTGAGTATCGATAGAGCGGCATTGATTGACTGACGAAAGTGGAGAAAACAGAATATGGTTAGCAGCAGCAATTATCTTAGATTTAAAAAAAAAAAGTTAACACATTCCAACAACATGATAGGGATCTGCTTATTCTCCCATTCCAGTTGTAAAAAGTTGTTATTCTGAAAGAAAACTTGAGCACTGGTGGGGAAGAGCGATACAGGTGAGAGACTGGGCACAAACCAAAGGTCTGTGCAGAAAAGGATAACAGAGCTGCAGGTGGCATTGGGGTGAACTGGAGAACCTCCTATAAAGGAATAAAGCAGGGTCAGAGACAGAGAACCCGCAGGAAAAACCTGGAGACAGATGTACCAAGTCACAGGTTTGTGCCAAATAAACCAGGAGGAAGGGGATGGGTCAGTAAGAGGAGGAACCTTCAGGAACGTGGGGGAAATAAGAAGGCAGGTAGGTCTCTTGCCATGGTCAGGGGGTGGTGTTAAGGCCAGCTCCTCGGCACGAGGGAAGATGTGAGTTATTTCAGAAATGTTCTGAAACAGAAAGTGGCACAAAAGGACACGTGGTGGGAAACCAGAACTATTACAAAAAGGACACGGAAACAGTTATGCTGAGATTAGCAAAGGGGCTGGAAATTAGACAGATAGACAACAGGCAGGAAACAGAAGGAATATCAGAGAGAAATACAGCAACAAGGTGCTGGGAGGAGCCTTGAGAGGTTGTCGTGCCCCAAAGCACCCTAGTACATTCCTGTAGTAACAATACCGATGTCATCTGGAAGGTGACACTTCATGCAGAGACTGTGCTTAACCAGGCCCAGGGATAGCGAACAGCCAGGGAGAAGCAACTGGGATGGGAGTGCACAAACGCCAGGAGCCTGGGCAACACAACACAGGAACCTGAACAACGGGTGCATGTTGTCAGACCAGATACTGCAGGCATGAAAGAAAGAGGGTGGAATGGGAACTGTGACTGGAAAACAGGCATTTTAGGGAATGTGTTACCCAAGAAAAAGAAAAAGAAAAAGTAATGGCGCTACAGTAGCAATTAGCAGCACGCGGCTTCCAAATTAACTAACTAAATAAATAAAACATGGATTAATCAAGAACTATAAAGACATAATGGGATTTAAAAATATTTTTAGGATATAGCTTAACCCATGAAAGGGGTTACTATATGTAATGGCAGCCTCCTGTAGCAATAAACTGGGGAGTCTGATGCTCCTAGATGGAAAGAGACAAGATAGGATGAGACAATAAGTCATAAGAGGGAAGAAAAAGAAAGAAATGCGTAAGCCAAAACACAACAAATCACAGGTAAAAGAACAGGTAACCATCCAAAAATCATGCTCACAAATACAAGGGCTGCCTCTCAGAAGCCAGGCAGGCATTGGGAAGGACACTGTCTGGAATGGAGGATTAAGTTTCACTTAAAGACGACCAGCCAACCAAGCAAGACCTGTCTATCTGGCATGCTCCAGAAGTAATTTTAGAAATGTGCTTCTGGACTTCTTTATTAAAGGATAAGGGTGGTTTGTTTGGTTTTTTTTAATGAAGAAGTTGTATTAAACAAAGACCTGAAAGGGAAACTGTGCAAAGAAATTCTCTATAGCATTGAATCCCTCGGCTCCGGGCTAGGCAAAGGTCACGGAGTGAACTCCCTGTGTGAGGACCAACCCCCATGCTCAGATGCTGAGCACAGACCAGCCGCAGCCGTTGCCGAGGGCACACAGCCCAGTGCTCCGCTTCACCCAGGTTTTACTCAACACATCAGACAGTCAGAAGACAAACGCAGAAGGGAAACCAGGCAGCCCAACTCTCCGACAAAAGGGGCACGGTTAGCTTGGGTGTTTCCTGATGCCAGATTCACCTGGACAATTTTAGCTACCACTTTTAAGAAGTGGAGGAAATCATCTGCCATCTCTACCCCTCAAATTGCAGTATTTGCTATCAGTGAAGGCCATTTTCAAAATCTTGTACCAAAAAGAGAGTAAATTACTCCAGCCACCCTCCGTCACGAATAGGCTGACTACTGAAGCACAGAAACTGTCAAGCAGGGTGGCGTGCTGCTCCAAACTGCGGCAAGGCAGGACGAGGGTGCCGGGCACAGTGCCGGCTGTTCAGTGGCTGACAGGATCCCCAGCGCTTGTGAAACACGTCCTCTCCCTTCCTGCCAAACCAACGAATGCATACACGTTGATAGAAGATGTCAGCTTGCACCAGCACAAGGAGCATCAATGAAGAAAAGCATCATGTGCGCTGTCACCTCAGGAAAAATGTAGGAAAGCAGCATCACAATGAAGTTGGAAATGCATAGCTGGGGTCTTAAAGAACTAGGTGTACTATAGGATTTCCTTGGGGAGAGTTAGTGGTGTTTATTCAGTGACCTTTTCAGTTATTCTTCGTGGGGAAAAAAAAAAAAAAAAATCAGGTTTTAAGCAATACGGTTTTAAAACATAAATTTCCCAGTGAAACGGTGAACAGCAGGAGGGAGGCGGTTGTCACAAGGACCGAAGTCACGGCGGCTCATCGAGGGAAGGCTGTGGCAGCCGAACCAGCCGGCTCTTAACGCGCGGCTAGAGCCGCGACACAAAAGCTGCCACACCGCTGCCTTGAGCACGACGGAGGAAAAGGCTCCGCCGCCCACGGTTCCACCGGCCACGGCGCGCCCCGGCCCGGCCCCTGCGGCCCCCGACGGCCGCGCTCGCCCCGCACCGGCGGCGGAGACCCTCCGGAGCGGCTGCGGGCGGTGTGGCCGTCTCCCCTCCCCTTCCATCCAGGCGGACAGGGCTGACGGGCTGCCCCCGGCCGCGGGGCCGACCTACCCTCCCCACCCGCGACGTGTCCCGGCAGGAGCGGGCGGCGCCTCCCGGGCCCGCTCCTCTCCGCCGCCCCGTCGGAAGGAGTCAGCGCCTTCCCGGGCAGCGCGCCCCGACGGCGGGAGGCGCAGCCCGGCGGGGTCCGGGCCGCCGTCGGTGCACGTTAAGGCTCCTCGGAAATCCGGAGCGGCTCATTCGCCGCCGCTCCCCGCCGCGCCCCCCGCGCCCTTCCCGCCATCCCGGCCCCGCCCGCAATCACGGACCCCCACTCCACCAACCAGCACCCCCCACACACACCCCTCGCGCTTGCCACGTCCCCGCTCGGCGGGGCCAATAGGCGGGCGGCGCCAGGTGTGTGCTACCTGCACCACGTGGGGCGGGGGGTGGGCAGGTAGGGCCGCGGCCCCGCGCAGAAAAGCCCGCGGCCATTGCGCGCTTCCCAGGGGTGCAGCCGGCGTGGGAGCGGCCGCCGCCGGCCCCGGGAAAAAGGGGGGGGTTGGGAAAGGGGGGGCAGCCCTGTGCCTCCCCCGCGCTGGGACCTTGGGGAGCGAGGCTGCAGGTGGGGGCTCTGCCGCTTGGGTCTCTCGCTTGGAAGCGCCTCGGCCAGGGAAAGTTTCCGGTCTCTTCCTCTCCTCTCTTTTTCCCTTCCCTTTTTTTTTTTTTCCACCCCCCGCCCCTCCACCCCGTATTTTTTTGTCCTTTTTACTATCCCGGTGGCACTATGACGGCGTCTCCCGACTACCTGGTGATCCTCTTCGTGACCACGGCGGGCACCAACGGGGCAAGGCTGGGCTCAGATGAGCGAGAGCTGCTCCAGCTCCTGTGGAAAGTGGTCGACCTGAGGAATAAGAAGGTATTTTTCCTGAGGGGGGAACACGTCGGCCTGCTGCTCCCCTTGGCCCCTGCCGTGCTGGGTACAGGTGGGGTGGCCCCGGCGCCGGGCTGGCGGTGGGTGCTCCAGGCTGGAGCAGGCTCTGGTGGAGGTTAGGGGCCGGTGCTGCGCGTAGGGACCTCCAGCCCGGGGAGCTGACTCGCCCCTCCTCTGCTTTCTCTGGAGCTGGGGCACCTGCATGACGTGCTGGTCCGGCCTGACCACCCGGAGCTGACGGCTGAGTGCCAGGAGATCACCCAGGTGGATGTGGAGAGCCTGGCACTGGCTCCACCGCTGGAGCAGGCTTTGAGACAGGTGACCCCCCCCCCCCCCCCATAACCGGTTGCTGGGTGTTGGTATCCCCTGGGGGTTTCCTGGTGAGGTAGAGGCAGCGTTATCAGCGTTATCAGCCATTTATCCCCTCCCCCAGTGGAGCCTGGCACCGAGGTACCACAGATATGTGTGGGCCAGGCAGCCTGGTCTGTGGTGGGCTTTGTGGGGATTTCTCCCTTGCCTTTTGCTCGTTGCCTTTAGGAGGGACAGAACCCCAAGACAGAAAGATCAGGGTCAGGCATCCCTCCTACCCTAGTCTCCTGCCATGCTGGACCCTGAGCCTCAACTGAGGATGAACCCCAATCGATGTTGGAAGAGGCCAAGTTTAGGTCCCCTGTGAAAAGTCTGGGTGGTGGCAGGCCTTGTTAAGGCTTGTAGTGGCTCCTCAATCCTGGGAAGGAGACAGTACTGAAGCCTCTAGATAAACAAGGAGGTGTGTGTAATTCTCACTGAGGGAAGGGCTTTCCAACATGCTTGAGCAACTTGTCTGAAAGGCTCTTCTGCCCCAGCACTCCCTCTGCAACCTCAGCTTCGTGTCTCTTTGCAGTGCTCTTGCAAATGCTCCTGGAAAAGGACTTTTTTTGTGATGTGAACTGTCTGTGTGGCCACATCTCATTGGGAGGAGGGGGGGAAGGGGCAATTTCCTTGTGAAGATAACTGTCATAAAAGTTATCATGTGCTTAGCTAGTAAGAAACAAATCTACGGAAGTGAAGGACTAGGGTCATACAAAAAGGAGTTCCAGCTCCGTGTTCCTGCTGCCCAGGAATAACGTGTTACCAACTGATGACACTGCCTAGCTCAACCACTGATCTCTTACATGTATGTCTTTTGTTCCTGCTTTCAGTTTAATCAATCCGTGAGCAATGAGCTGAACATTGGTGTAGGTACTTCCTTCTGTTTCTGTACTGATGGACAGTTGCACATTAGGCAAGTTCTACACCCTGAAGCTTCCAAAAAGGTATGTAGTTGTAGCTTAAGTTTGAATCTTAGTGTGCTTTATATGATTTTTTTTTTTTTTTGCAAAACTGATCAACTTCTCTTCAGTATGAGGGTGTCTCTGCAAAACCACAGTACAAACATCACTCATGCGCATATGCTTACCAGACTGTCCATATGCTTCCACAACGTCCGTGTGGAAAGCATAGCCAATGCCTTGTGTTTGTGTAGCTCTGAGATGCCTTTTTAAGTTAAATCACAAGAAAGATTTTTCTTAAGTGTTTTAAGAGAGTAATGCATTGACAGAGTACTCATAGCTCCTACAGCTGTAGAAGCTACAATGGGTTAACAAGTGGGAATTTGGAAGTGTTGCCAAATAGTTAATCACCTTAATCATAAACTCTCTTTTGAAATTTTACATTCACCTTTAGCTTCAGCAACTTCCAATCTTTGTGTATTCGGTTGACACTTAAAGGGCGGTGCTCGTGTTTGTAAGAAGCTGAGCAGTAGTTTGAGGCAGGCTATGAGTGATGACTAGTCCCATAGCCTAGAGTTTTCTATAACTTTAGAGTTGCCAAATCGCTAACAGTGTTGTGAGGTCCTGCCTACTTTTCATTAGTGATAGAGTTGCAGCAATATGCAGAGTCTCTAGTCCTGAAATAACTGCTTCAATATTAACAACATCTCATTTTGTGGTTTGCTATGAGCATGCACTGCTCCATAACTGAGCTGTTCTGCTCTCTTGCAACTGATCTGTGCCCATCAATTTGCTGCTTCATCTTTGAAGGGGCACTGCTTCAAGTCTGTGCTGTTACAAAACTGATATTGCATGAGTTTGGTTTTAATACTTGTTGGTGTTTACACCTTTGAAAGTTTAGAAGAGAAACAGTGAACATGATTCATAGTGAAGGGACAGCCCTTATATATGTAACTTGTTTTAGTGTATAATATGGGAAAATGTGGAAATGGGGTTTTTAACAGACTTCCTTCTCCCTTGTGATGGGTATGTGTTTTATACAGTTAATCTTTCCATGCAGTTAAATATACGTGGATAAAAGAAGGGACAACCCCAATGATTACTGAAGTTTGTTTGGTGTTGGGGATAGGCATACTTTTTCTGTATCATCACAGGTTCACTGGCAGGATTCAAATCTTCATCAAAATCTTCTGTTGCTATTTTGTTAAGGATTATTAATTTGAAATCTGTGCTGTGCTGCCTATAGATTAAGTAAATCAGATGCTTACAAGACCTGTAATAGTTCTTCAGTGAATACCCTAATCCTGAAGTTGGGGTGGAGGAATCACTAAAATCCAGACAGGCAGAAATCACTAACCTCTTGAATATATTTATATCTTAAGATGTCTAGTCTGAACCAATCTAGCAGCTCACGGTATTCAGAGAATGAATTGGCATCAACTGTTCCAACTGAATGTCAGTGAAGTACAGAACTTGATCTCTCATCGAGGAATTAAAATAGCCATGTGAAAACTAGCGCAGGAAACCTTGGCAAGCACACCTGCATTTTCATAAGTTTGTCTTTAAAGTATCATTTGCTTAATGCACCTGTCCATATGCTAAAATAAGCTCTAATATTCTCAAAGCAGAACTTGTTTTAGAGCCCAAACTTCTTTCTTTGGGCTCTCTAAATGTGCGTTCGTATATCCTGTCATTCTGTTATAATGCCAAGATGCTAACTAGTCATTAAATCACAGAGAGCTCTTCCTTTTGGTCTAGAGAGGCATTGCAGGCAACAGGCAGCCAAGTGGAATCCGAAGTATATTGTCTCTGTGGGGAAGCTCTGGTGTGAAGACTTAACTGAAGGAGTAGGGGGTTGTGTTGGTTTAAACAGCTTCCCCCAAGTCTTCTCCTTTGCACCCCCAAAAAAACTAAAAGCATATGTTAGATGTAGTAGTGAGGCAAAAGGGTTTTATAACTTGGTCCTGGCTTCATATACCGCAATTAAAGCAATTACCACACACAGACTGACAACCTGTGCACTATATCAAACAATTATCTGCACACAATTGAAGGTTTTTGTTGGTGGTGGCGGGTTTTTGTTTGTTTTGTGGTTTTTTTTTTTTTTTTTTTTTAAGGAAATAAATATTTGAAGTGTGACTATTCCCTGATAAATAAGCCTTGTCTGTAAACCAAAACATCTACTAGTCTTGCAAAATTTGCTTGGTTCTATAAGCCACACTGAGTGCCCTCTGGCTTTATACAGTGAAAATTGGAATCAAAAATTGCAAGAGTAAGGATTTGCTTTCCTACATACATACTGGATTTGAGGCATTAGTATTAATAGCAAATGTTTCTCTGGCAGTGAAAAAGCACTATTTCTTGTTTTGAACCACATAGACAAGAAGCTGCTTAAGCAAGAAAAGTTTATAAACATACTTATGTGGCTAAGCAGAGCTATGTGAGTTTCTCTATAGCAAAGGCTGTTTGTATTTCCTACCCATTATAATGAAATTGTTAGGAAGTCTGGTATCTAAAACCAAAGTAGATTAAACTCACCCTAGCTGATAGTAGTTATTTTTTCCTTTTACAGAATATCTTACTGCCTGAATGCTTCTACTCCTTTTTTGACTTGCGGAAAGAGTTCAAGAAGTGTTGCCCTGGCTCACCTGACATTAGTAAACTCAATGTTGCAGCCATGACAGAATGTATCCTTTTCACAGTGATGGTGTCTGCTGCTGTTACATCTTTGGCTCAATTTTAGGACAAGAGATGAGTGAGTAATGCTTGCAACACATGTTTAAGGGTGGTATAACTTTAATGAGCGACTTGGAGCTGTAAGGAGTTTTCTCACACAGATCAAGATAAAAACATATGAGGATGCATGTCCCCATGGGGAAAATCCTGTATTTCTTCTTGATTTCTGTATCTTTTCTTTACCACCATTATAGTTTTGTCTTTTTAAACTTCACAGTTCAATGTAACTGGCATATTTGTTCAAATCACTGATATGAATCCTAATATTAAAGTTGTGAGGCTGCTTGTTGAATCCATTAGATTTTTATTTTATTTTTAGGTAAGAGTGAACGTTGGAAGGCCGTCCTCATTTTTAGGAGGGGGAACAGTTATTCTTGATGTGTACTTGTACCGTATCTTTGATTCAGGAGTGAAGCTAAGGCAGGGATCCTGCTGGCACATGTGGTATTAAGTCTCATGGAAGTTGTACGTGTTGCACCTTGCAAGGTGAGGCTGGGCTGGCAACAAGATGCAGTTAGTAATGTGTTTCCCTTTTCAGTAGTAGGGATGTCTAAAATGACTTTCTGATTAGTCTTCAGTGGTCTGTAACCTAGCCCTGTCTGGCTCTTTACTAGTCTTAGCTCAGTTTTGTTTGCATGCCATGTACAATTACCAGAGCTGAAACCGGGGCTGTGAATTATTTGGCTCTGCCTTCCTCCTTGCTTCCCTGGCAGTCTCCCCTCTTGCTGCAGACTCCAGTCCTCATCTCACATGTACTCTGGGACATGAACAATGCTTGACTTCCCTACTGACCTATTGAAGCAGTGACTGCAAAAGCTAGCTAGCAAGGAGGGATAAAAGAATTTGAGAGGGGTTTAAAAATATTTTTTTATTGTTTTTTTTGTTGTTCTCATTCTTGACTTTTTTTTCCTCTGACTAGTTATTGTGTCCATAGAGTGGTTGCCATTAAGAGCTGGTATTTTTCAGACTCAAAGTGTGGCTTCTGAATTATTTTGGTCTTTCACTGCAGGAGTAATATTGTCTGGGCTTTGTAGCTGTGTCGGTGGGCATAAAATATCTCTGTATATGTGGATTTTTTTGTGTGTGTGTGTTTAACCATAAAGTTGAATACTGAAGACTGTCTTCTCTGCTTTGCCACCTGCAAATTAAGATTAATCTCCCCTAGTAAAGGGACAGAAATCATTTCTCCCCCTACTCTGAAGCAAATACATTTAGTGTAGAAGTATGAATTTTTATGAAGAAAAGTGACATAAACACTTGTGTTGCATGGTTTAGAAGCTGGATGATGGAAACTTCTTAAAGTTATGGTCAAAAATTTAATACATGATTTAGGGGTGCTTTGAGATGATCTGGACAAGTTAAAGACAATTACCTATTTTGTGTGTTTTGCAGAGATGCCTTTGCTTTCTCCTCGTGTGAATGTTTGGTGTGCATCTTGCAAATGTGGAAACAGTCGTATGACTGTAGCCACGTGGAGTGTCACTGGTCAGATGAGGCACAGTGACAGACTGTGTACTCCCTGCCTGCTGGGAGAGGGGAGCAGGTTACCCTGCATTGCCCAACTGTCAGGAAGCCCCTAAAGAGCCCGTCCTATCTGAGGGTGGCTTTGGTGGTTGCCAATAGTATTTCAAGTTTCTAGAGGCTTGGTCAGTCTATCCAAATGCTCTCAGCCTGAGTTTGAATTCTGGAACTGATATGCTTCATAAGGTATATAAACATAAATAACTTCATTTTGGTTTTATATAAATCTTTGTGGTTTGTCTTGTTTTGTAACTGCTGATGCTCTTATTTGTAAACTTGCTATGTTTATGTAACATGGCTGAAATGAACTCTCTGCCTTATATTGCTTGAGAATACTGGGGGTGGAGGATGCAGAGACCAGAAAGGTAAAACAATTTGGGGTTGTTATTGAAAAAAAATTTGATAGTTTTCTTTGCCCTCACCTTGCTGAAATGTGCCCACTTAATCTCATCCATGTCAGAAGCTGTGTAAGTTAATTGTACTTGGAGAGTCTGGACATGCATGTAATGCTTGGGATAAAAAAAAATAATAATGTTGAAGCAGGCACTAAGTCTGAAGACTAGTTCAAATACTTTTGTGCAGAGATTTTTTTTTTTTATCCTTCATGTAAGTCGGACAGCTACTTTCCTCCTGAGACAGTTATATAGCAAAAAACCCAAAATGTGTAAATAAGAAGTAACTTGGATTTGAAGTGGATGTGTTGGGGCGGGGGACACAAACAAATTAAAAACAGAGAGTAGGTTAAAATGAAGTTGCAAATTAGTGCATAGAATCTGACCAAGCTCTTTTTCATCTTGTAGAAAGTTCAGCTCTTCCACCCCGTAGCTGAAGGGGCTGCATGAAGGGAGTCTTCCATGAGTTATCACACAAACTGTACTGCACAAGGTTTATTAGCATTCGGTGTGAATAGATGGCTTTGGTTTAGGGGCAGGGTACTGACTGGAGAAGCAGAAGACCTACATTTACAAACTGGTAGGAACAGGAGTAGAATAATTTCTGGGCACATCCCTTCATGTACTTGCATCTTCATTTACCTGTGTGTAAGATGGTTGTGACCAGTGAGAAGAGCATTAGGGAAAAGCTGAATATTATTGTACAGTCATTTAAATTATTAGGAGTCTTCCAAAAGCTTTTATTTTGGTGGGCAACATTTGATTAAGTAACAAATTACAGGCAAATGGAGAATGTACTCTGTTGTTCCCAACAGTCAGGGGAGAACTTTCTACTGCAGTCATTCATGATATATATCCCAGTGTATAACACACTGGATGGTTGGTGCTTGGCCATGTACTTCTTGCAGACAAGTCATGAGCAAGCTTGAAAAAGAGCATAGATATTTTAAACCAAATAATTGGTTGGATTATTCTTCCTTTAGAAAGTACTTTTGGGTCTTACTCTTTCAGCAAAGTACTTGAAACTGTGTACAGCAATGAAACCATTCCAAATCCAAGAGTTCGGGTGAAAGTCTTACATTCCAACACCCACCACCCTTTCCCCCCAAATATTCTAAATTTCATGTACAAACTGCCACTGACTTATCTTAAATCAGGGTAAGTAAATGTTTAAAATGCCATTACATTTAAGGGACTGAGGAAGAACTGAGACTAGCTGTAACTGTTATCTGAGTGCTACTGCTGCCTAACTTACACAAAAAACCTGGGCAGAAGACTAAGAGGCAGTCTTCTGGTAGTTCTTCAGTCAGTATTGTGCAAGAGTAGCGACAGCAGTACAATTATGAGAAATTTTGAGGAACAAAAAACTTGAGAGAAGCAATCATGTTCCGGCAGAGAAAGAAACTCAGGTCTGTTGAAATCTTTTTTCTTCTTTTTTTTTTTTTTTTTTTTTTTTTAACATGTGTAAGTATACAAAAGGAGTGGGGTTGTTCTTGCACCCTCTGTACCTCCCATACTTGCTGCACTTCTTGATTTGCAAAGCTTGCTGAGCCAGTTTTCACAGCTGTGAGTGCCTTCAGGGTGGAGTGAACAAAGCTTGCATGACTATTCCTATTCTGTCTGCAGAAGACTCATCCTTTGCCTCGAGATTGGGTGTGCAGAAGCCATTAAATGGCAAATAGATCTTGCTTCCTCCAGTGCATTGTTTGCTCCACTTGCTTCTGAACTCGGTCTGTGAGGATAACTCCTTACTAAGAGTATCTGCAGGATGTTGTCAATAGAAATAGAGGCATACTTCAGAACAGCCTGTTTAATGTGCTGGATATGATCTGGATACCGCAATACTGAAACTTGATTTTGTTTGGTTATTTTTTTTGTCCTGGGTGTCTTGAAAACAATGATGGGGAGCACAGTTATAGCCAATAGTACTTAACTCTGGCAATACAGAGCCTATTACTGGGTATTACCTGAGAATCTTATATATTGCTATTTGTATTTCCCGTGACAGTACCCAGGAACTGGGTAATACCAGATTATCTTTACGTGAAGTAGTATTTTAAAAGATGTAATCTTTTGCCTGAAGAGACTTAAAACCAGACAAAGTGGGAAGAGGATCAATGCAGAACACAATTGCAATACTAGTTCACGTCACGCCATCTCAGCTCTAAGTTAGTTCAGTATTTCTTATGCTACAGTTAAGAAAGGAGTTGAGGGACTGAGAAATGGAAAAGACAGTGGGAAGGAAGTCTTGGAGGGCACTGGCAGTGGGTGAAGCTGTGGTGATGAATCTGGGGAAATGATTAAGGCATTTTTTCCATATTATACAGGCAACCCTGATGCAGAATATGCATTCCCCCCTGCCCCCTTTAGTAACTTGCTAAATGTTGCAGGAGGTGGTACTGCAGCTGAGCCACAAGATTAAGTTCCATTTTTCCCATCCAGCCTTGTTATTTGGGAATGTCTTTTTCCTGTTGCTTCATTTAGAATATATGTGTGCATGCTATTGCATTTAGACAGCTAGGTCTGTTTACTAACACTTCTTTAAGTGTGAACTTGGATTTATCCAATGCAATCAACTCTTTTCAATTGCCCAGGAGTGGCAACATTTAAATATCACTGTATTCAAACATGTGTGGTCTCCTATCCCTTCACAGAACAAGGGGAGGGTTTTATAAAGACAGTTGCATTAACAGCCTTTTCCCCAAGTGTACATAATTTCTAGTGCCTCCGTTCATAGGAGTCCATCTGTATGTAGTCAGTCTTGTTCATAAGAATTCAGGTTTTCACTTAGTTAACATGATCCTTACATGTGCAGAAAACTATCCATTTTCTTCTCCAATCTTGTCTACAAGTCTCACTTCTAGCTAATCAGAGGTGGAGATGTGAGTGATTTTTCACTCCTGCTAATGTTGATGACTTTCTCCCTTCCCACTGTGTTTGTATTAATCTAGAGTTCCTTGGCACAACTGACTCACTGTGTCTGAACACCTGGTACCAACTTCTGTTGGCACTAGGGCAGTTTTAGGAACTATGTCTCCCATTGATCAATATTTTCAATGAAAATGTTTTCTGAAGAAAATGAACGTGGGGTAAGGGAGTTGTTTGTTTTTCCTTGTGTGATAGCCTTGCTTCCAATTCCCAGGCCCTTCACACTGCTGCATTCCCCTCTCTGGCAGCTGATTACTTGTAGGGATCTTTGGCTCTGCAAGAAGGAAATACTGAAATGTCTCTTCACTTCTGAGAGCACAGTTAACAGCGATGTGCATGGGTGTGCACATGTGCAGGCATGTCCCCTGCCATAATAGCTATTGAAACTCTGCCCAATTTCTCTTGACTTTGACAGAGGAAAGGTAACATTTCCAAAATCTTCATTAAAAAAAAGGTCAGGCAAGACCAGAACTCCAACACCTGCATCTTCAGCAGTACCAGGTTCCCTGATGGGCAGCAGAGACTGCGCAAGTGCAGCACAGAGCTGGTAGATGCTGCAGGGGGAAGGGTGTCAGGAAAAGCAGGAGCAGCACTCCTCTGCTCTGATACATGAGGTACCCAGAAACATCTGTGTAGGCCTGATTAGGCACCCACTCTGCAAGGGAGTCTGTGGAGTATTTTTCTTTCCAACCCCCTTTCCCAGGGGGCAGGGGAGGAGGTGAGCTTGAGCATACAGTTTAGGAAGAGATACCGCAATGGAGAAGTTTCTTGTTGTCATAAATACTGATAGTCTCTTAAACTGTGTTATGTGGTTTGTTGAGGACTTTTAGCTTGGTTTTTAAGAAAACTATTTAAAGTTCTCACTACTTTACTCCAAAGAAGGTACTGGGAGGGAGTGTAATGGCAATGGCTAGCAAGCTCTGTTTAGTCAAGCATTTGGAGGGAAGGGATCACTGGTTTAAGCTTTCTGGGTTTTAAACTAGGATAATTCACTTAAACTTCAGGTGTTCTTGTAATACTAAGCACCATATTCTCACTTTTCACGCTCCAATGCACACTTAAAACTAGTAAAGCCTCAAAATCAAATTAGTATCAAAGTGCATTGTGTTGACACAGAAGCTTTCATTTCCTTGCTGTGGAAGAGTTCATTACATCAGTTGAAATTATTTTTCATTTCCCAAAATAACTGTTAAACATAAACAATTTAAAAAACCCCTGTTTTGTAGGAGTGGCTTACAGTAGTCCCACAAATAATAGGGAAGACTTTATTTCACAATGAAATTTGTGCTCCCTCCCCTGTTGATGAGATGATATGACAAAGCTGGTGGGTGGTGTCTGTTTCTAACAGAAGCTGTTCTTCTGTTCCCTGCCCTTCATGCAGGAATCTGCCAACTCAAAATATCTTAAGCACTAGGTGGAGAAAGAGTTTGGTTGGGTTTGTTTGTTTGTTTGTTTGTTTTGTTTGGTTTGGTTTTTTTTTGTTTTTGTTTTTTTTCTTTTAAGTGGAAGGAACCTTGCTATCTTGGACTGAGAACCAACTTTTGAGCACCAAATGCAGACTTGGAGCATTTGAAATGTCTAATGTAGTTTTTTGAGAATGTGGGCAAATAACTGGTGCATTTGACTGTTTTTAAAGTCTTGCATTACTGTACTGCCATGCCAGGATAGGTCTTGTCTAAGAAACTCACTTTTGCTCTAAAGTCTTGATGCAAAGTGATAAGAGAAGTCAAAAAAGCAATTCCTATCCCCAGACTGATTTATATTTCACTTCTTGTTCTGTTCTTGTCTGTTGTTTTTGTTTTGTTTTTGTTTTTTACCCCAGTCTTCAAAGAAAGAGATGAGAGTGGAAAAAACTTTTTTTTAAATTTGCTTTATAAACGATGGAGCAGAGTTGCAAGTAATCTTAGTCCTGTACCCTGGTCTTAAAGAGGGGCAAATATGACAGGAAGTGGGAGAGATACCATAATACACTTTTTAAAGTTGTATGGAAAAAGATGGTATGTACAACTTGAATCAGACTCTCTTTATGAACGTGGCTTGTTTATCTCGTCCTTCTATAGCTGTCTTTCCAGAGCACTTCTTGCTCTCAGTTGGCAGGAGAGCTTATCCTTGCTATCATATTCCAAAATCCTTCAGATCAAAGAAGATATGGGTTGTGGGACTCTGTTTTGTCTCTTGGTTATCTACAGTGGTGCACTCTTATCAGATTCTCAAAACGTTTCTTCATAACAACACAGAACTCAGGCTGTAACTTCTAATAGGCAAGGTTTAGACATGGAGCTGTGTGAATTTTGTCAGTGGCAAGATATTTATTCTACTTTGGTATTTAATTGTTCCGAAAGCATGTGGTATATCCTCCTATTTCTGCAGCTTCTTGTTGATGGTTTGCTTCTCCTCCTTCCCCAAATCTTTCCCTAGAGATTAAGGAAGATGTTAATTAAAGAGGACAGGATGCCAGTCTCTTCCACATGCAAAAGTGTATCTGTCTATCAAGTATAAATAATTCATGAGTATATTAAATTATATATGTCCTTATTATGGGGTCTCATGTCCCCAGACACTTTCTGGAGTGACCTCAGACTCCCGCAGGTGGCAGTAGTTAGAGGTCAAGGCAGAACAGCTAATGTATCCCAGCAGGAAAATGAATTAAATCTTCCCCTGAGAAGCAACTTACCATCAAGGATAACATAAAAGCTTGTTGCTCTAGCAGGAAGCCAATTAGAAATCTGTTTGGTGATGACTGACTTAACTCCAGCATAAAGATTTAAATCTTGACAAGAATAGTCCAGCACTTCCCTACGGAGCATCTCAAGTTGAAGATATGGGGAATATTATTTTAACACTAATATCTGAACCATACAGTAAGTGATTGTGAGGAACAAGTTTCCTCCGTTGCTTGTTTGTTTTTCCTGACTGTCCTGTATGCTCAGGAAAAAGAATATAACTTGTGCTGTATTTCACAGATCACGGATTTTCAGATCCAGAAAGAGTGAACTACAAATTTGAAAGTGGGCCTTGGTAAGTACCTTCTCCCTCTTCTTGCTGCAGCAGCTCACCTGTTTTTTTGGGGGGAGGGGGGTTTGTTTGTTTGTGTGGGTTTTGGGGTGTGTTTGTTTTTTTTAATAAAGATACTGCTTAGATAAGTTGTACTTCTCTGTCTAAATTGCAAACAGCTGTTACCATTATTTTTATTTACCTTCCCACTGCTGTAGGAATCTATTAGATGCTTTAAGTGGGAAAGGGAACAAATATTGTATGATCAGATGCAAGCCAGTTTTCTTGCTGGGCTTCAATGTTGCCTGTTAGCTGCTGATAGTTCTGGGTTCTGCTAATAAGTACCTATAATGGGTGTCAAGTGTGGTATGCTGTTAACAAAGAATGTAAGCATTTTTGCAGAAGTAACCCTATTGATACCAACTCTTACATTCTTCCTGCAATTTTCTTCACAGTTTCTGAATACACAACATGATTTCCTTTTTAATATTGAAAAAACATTTCCATAATGTTACTGTGCCACCAGTGAATTGCTTAAACTATGATGATTGTCTTCTTCCCAAATATGTCTTAAACACAAAGCCTTATCTACTTTTGATGACTGTTTTGTTGTTTGTTTTGGTTTTTTTTTTAAATGTAATCATGCTTTTCTACATATGAATACAGATTTTTTTTTTTTTTAGCAGTTTGCTGGATACTCCCTCTGCATTATCACAAGAGACTGTTGTTAAACTGACCTTATTTATATTCCCATCTTGCATGAATACTTTCCTCTTCCAGATTAAGGAACTGTCATAATGGTAGATGGTGCACTTCTGAGCTAAGAGAAGCAAGAAAACAATACAACAATATTGGCAGAAAGCATCTAGTGAGATTAGCTCAGGGGTTATGTTTTAGCATTGTTTTAAGCTTTTTCCCTTTCACTAACAAAATCCTGGGATGAGGTGGAATATTCCCATTTTATTTGTGGTAGTGAGCAGTACGGAATTAGGAGATGAAAGAGAACAGTTTGGGACAGACACTTAGAGAAAGGCCACCTGAGAAACTAAAATATGAGCAAGAAACATGACCCTCCTATGACAAGGCATACTACAGCCCTTTTGTATGAGGGAGTCCTCTGCCGCTGAACAACACTTCATCTGCTTATCAGTCACATGGTCTCTTCTGTGCAAAAACCTTTCCTTGCAATAGCCAGAAAGGCAGCCTTGGGTAGCTGTGAGCGTTTTGCTGTACATGGCACTTTTAACAAGTAAGAGAACAAAAGAGACTTTGGTAATGACCAATTAAACCTGGCTTTCTGTGGCTGAGCTATTCCCATGCTAAACAGCCAATGTAGCCTGTAGCTATATTAGTCTCTAGTAGCACAGTGATGGCCTGAACAAGCAATGTTAAGGCTAAGCTCTTTTTGGACAGGAGTCCTCTCTGTGCTAAGTATAACCCTGAACAGATTTGGTCTTGGCTTGTGACTGGCTCTTACGTACTGTCACAGTACAAATAATATGCACTAACCTCAGTTACATTTAACTGCTCTGCTTCAATTTCCACCTAGCTGAGATTAGAATAAAATGTGCTTAATTTTATACCAGTAAGCCTGTTCAGACAATGGAGAAGCACAAACCATTGGTATGTCAGGAGCAGGAAGAAAATTTGGAACATGATTGAAGCGATGAGGGCTCAAGGAGCAAGTGTCGTGAATCAAGAAAGGGCATCTGGGAAAAAGTCAGCTTAACAGAACAGACATTCCGGGGGGGAGGCATGTGCAGTGGTTTGGATGGTGGTGGCACTGAGTCCTCGCCGCCCTGGCAGTGCTATCCAGAAGACATGGAGCAGGGACAGGGCTCTGTCTCTGGAGCACAGGTGACAAGCAGGGAGAGCAGCGTGTGGTGGATGCTACAGGCAGATGTCTCTGCATTACTCCCCTTTCCTGTTGCCTGCAGCAGCAAGATGGAACTTGTGGATGACAATGCTGTCATCCGAGCAAGAGGATTGCCGTGGCAGTCGTCTGACCAGGACATCGCGAGATTCTTCAAAGGCCTAAATATTGCCAAGTTAGTAGCTAAGACTTTGCCTCTACATTTGTGGTTCTTTGTCTGTATTGGTCATGGAGTTTTATCTCTCGTTTGATTTGAATCATGCAGGGGAGGTGCTGCGCTCTGTCTCAATGCCCAGGGTAGGAGGAATGGGGAGGCTCTCGTGAGGTTCGTAAGCGAAGAGCATAGAGATCTAGCACTCCAAAGGCACAAACATCACATGGGGAATCGATACATAGAGGTGTGTGACACTGTCTTTGAAATACTTTTCTCAGCAGGAGTGCAAGCAACATGCCAATCACATGTTGTCTTTTTTTCACCTTAGGTATACAAGGCAACAGGTGAAGACTTCCTGAAAATTGCAGGAGGTAATTTTTAAGGGGTGAGAAGGGAGGGTTTGTTCCATCAGCATCTGTAACTTTTGGCTGTAAACTGCCTCTGGATGTGGCCTTTCATCATCTTTGTTTGAACAAGTAGTTGGCTGATGTGTTGATTACTATGTACTCTGCTAGCAGCAGTCCAAGATTTTCTGTGATTTATCTGTCCATCTTTTGCTTCCACATTCTTGACATTTTCAAGAAGCCTATCAAATAAGAATTTGATCAGGCAAAGTGATCTTGCATATGAACTTAATTTGTTAGGTCATCCTTTTAACTGAAGGGACCTAAATGTTATTGATCACTGATTAAAAAAAAAAAAAAGAGTAGTTTCTCAAAACAATATGACTGCTGTTGTTGTGGAGACTTGCATGTAAAAGCAAACAGATACCATTGTGTAAATAACAAGGGATTTATGGAACTGATTTTCTTGAAATCAAATCTTTGCCTCATACTAAGGGGGGAATTTGAGGAGAATGCTTATTTAAGGGAAATATTGAAATATTTGCAGCTTTGAATTGAAAGGCTGCAAAATTTACTTTATAAATTCTCCTATGGTCTCTTTTCCTTCCCATTATGACTGCAAGCATAAAGAATTTGAGTTAGGATCCAATAAGCTGTTATGTATCTGCAATACTACCTTAAGGTCCTTGTTGGTTCCTGACAGATTTGTTTTGGGGATTGTAAATGACTAACTGGATGTCTGAGGTTGAGGTTTTAAAGTGGGAGAGGCTGTTAAGCTGTCAAATAAATAACTAATTGATAGGCTTGGTAATAGTTACACTATTCAAAATAAAGACATTGCACACTGACACTGGGGAAAAATGGTGCATGTCTGGCACAACTAAATTTCTTTGCAAAATGAGCTACTTGTAAGTGAAGGGACCATATTAAGATGTGACATTAGTTAGCAGCTAGCTTTGGTTAGGGTAGTGTTATGAGCATCTGTGGTCTTCTCCTAGAGATACTGAAAGTAGAATTGGCAGACTTTGACATTTTTATGGGAATAGGATGAAATTCCTGAGCTGTTTTCAATGTGTCCTTCCAATTTTCTTTCCCAGCACAATGGTCTGGGTACTTGGTTACTATATATTATGACTTCAGAGTATGCCGAAGATATTCATAAGTTAGAAAAGCAATGTGCATGGTAGCACAGGTACTGCTCACAAGAGACTCGCAGACTGTTCTTCCTTGGGCTCTGAACACTGAAAGTACTATTTTTCCCTTTGAATAAGGTTGAATCTCTTCTAAATGATGGAGTAACATTATTAGACTTTAATGGGAAGTGTGCTATACAATATTTCTAGTTTATCAGAGAGGGACATCTCTGACTTTGGAAGCAAATATCGTTCTACCTGCTCAAAAACTGTCTGTGGGAAGGAGGTAGGTGTGCCAGACTTGCTCATGATTTTGTGGCTGCCTAGACTTAAGTGTTTCTGTACTTCTTTTTGTTAAAGGCACTTCCAATGAGGTTGCCCAGTTCTTATCGAAAGAAAACCAAGTGATTGTCAGGATGCGAGGTCTTCCTTTCAATGTAACAACAGAAGAAGTGCTGACATTCTTTGGCCAGCACTGCCCTGTAACAGGAGGAAAGGAAGGAGTCCTGTTTGTCACATACCCTGACAGCAGGCCAACAGGGGATGCCTTTGTGTTGTTTGCTTGTGAGGAATATGCACAAAATGCACTGAAAAAGCATAAGGACTTGCTGGGGAAAAGGTACATTGAACTCTTCAGGAGCACTGCAGCAGAAGTTCAACAGGTGGGTATAAACCTTACAAACATTGTCTTCTTGTAATCCAGACTCCTACATTGGCATATGGTAGTGGAAGCAAATACTGCTTGGTCATGGCTTGAAAGCTGCTTCTCTCTCTCCTCTCCCCTCTTGAAGGTAGATTTAGGTTAGATATAAGAAAGAAATTCTTTATTGCGAGGGTGGTAAGACATTGGAACAGATTGCCCAGAGAAACTGTAGATACCCCCTCCCTGGAAGTGCTCAAGGCCAGGTTAGATGGGGATTTGAGCAACCTGGTCTAGTGGAAGGTGTCTCTGCCCATGGCAGGGGAGTTGGAACTAGATGATTTTTAAAATCCTTTCCAACCCAAATCGTTCTAGCATTCTATGACTCATGCTGGAAAGAGTACTGTCTGAATTTCCATGAGACTTTGCTTCCCCTAAAAGTAAGATGTTATGGCATATGGGTGTTCTCAATCACGTATATACAAACCTTTGGGGTTTTGGAACAGCAGTTATAGCTGGAAGTTTGTGGGTCTAGTGCTTTACACTATGGACACCAAAATTGTCTAAATCTGATGGTGGTTTATTCATGAGGAGTGTTAAAAACAGATCTTGATCTAAAAGACTTATCTTTGCTTTTCTGTTCCAGGAACTAGAGCCTTTGGATGTAGTTGTCTTCAGAGCAATGTATCTGAACAGTGTTACAAATTGCTTCCGAGTGCAGGTCTTGGCCATCTTCTGCCAGCATTGGCTACCTAGCGGAAGGTGGCAGGACTTTGTGAAACTGGGACTGAAAAGTACCCCTTCTTGCATTAACGTCACTTGATGGGATCATTAATTGCAGTTATGCTGTCAGTGAAAGGTAGTAGGGTTGAGAGGACTGTTTATGTATGTCTCCAAAGAGTCACCTCAACTGAAGTGCTACAAATAACTTCTAAACATGAATCTAAAAGGTCTAATCTATGATGCAAGTTATGGCCAACCAATAGCCATGTCGTAATCAAACAGTGGCACAGCTCTGTTCCCCCCAAATATAGACATTTCAGTGCTGTATTTGAAGGGTGGCACTAATGATGAGAAGGCATAGCTGCAACACTCACTCTTGTCATTGCATCTTTCTCAAATCCTCTCATATGTTTCTTTGATTAGGAAAGCCTTCTGATAGCTGTATAAATGTAAATTAATCTTAATCTTGTTCATAGAAAGTTAAAAGGGTAGTGATTGAATATTCAGTGAACTCTTGATCAGGCAGCATTTTTACAGTTAAAATTGGTAATAAGTCTTAAAGCATGACTGTTACAGATACTATGACTCAGTAACACCACCTATGTTACTTGATAGACCATTGCATCTCAAGTCAGGGCTACTTGATAGTGAAATATGCTTCTAGTTCACAGACTTTCCTAAAGTTTTACAGAGGAGACATTTTGGGTACAAGTGTCACCATGACTCTGTAAGATGGTAGAATGCTTGGGAATCTTTTTCCAATAAAAATACTATAGAAATGCAGGTTTTGTGTTCTAAGATGTCTTCTGAGAGTTGCAAGACATTTCAAGTAAATTCTCCAAAACAAAATTATGTTTTTCAAGAAGAAAAGATCCAGAGATTTAAAACATCTGAATTCTAAGCACTGTTGTTATGATTTAAACCCAGAATCTCTCTCACTTGTTTCTTAAAATACTGTCCAGAGTGAAAACAGATGGCACTGGTGTTATGTTCAGTTCCTGTGAGTTGAAGAATGACTAAGGAGGCTTTTTGTAACCTCTCTGTTCTTCTGTTCTGTACAGGTGCTGAACAGATACTCTTCCACACCTCTCATTCCTCTCCCAACACCTCCTATTCTTCCAGTATTACCTCAACAATTTGTGCCTCCTACTAATGTCAGAGACTGCATACGTTTGCGTGGTCTTCCTTATGCTGCTACTATAGAGGACATCCTGGAGTTCTTGGGGGAGTTTTCTACAGATATTCGGACCCATGGAGTTCACATGGTACTAAATCACCAGGTTGGTAGGCGTCACATGTGTAGCTAACTCTGTGCCAACTGCCTGTATATGCAAACACAATCCTGGTGATATTAATAGGGTAGCACCTTTGGGATTGACACTGAGGACATTAATTGGCCTCCAGCTCACCTCTAAAAGTGCACTGGCAATAGATGTGTTGGCTTATTTGAACACTGCTACGCCAGCTGCTGCATTTGCTGTAGAGTGTGGTTTCTGTTACTGAAACCCATGTGCCTAGAGCTAAACTGCAGTCTTGGAGGGGTTGTTGCTCCCAGACCAGCAGCTGTGCTCCTGTGCTGTAGGAGGCTCAAACTGAAGAGTTGTGCTCAGCAGCATGTATGATTCCTCTTGTACCAGGCAAGGGCTATCTTCAAAACCAAAGTGTGAGCAATGTTATCTCTCAAAGGAGTGGTTTGCCCCTGCCTTGCTGAACAATGTGCCACAGGTATATTTGAGGATAAATGTGACTGATGCCTTTTAGAGACAGGATTTCCTACAGCATAAGTCAGCAGCTGAAGCTTTGCCTTTCCTGTACTGTGTAGTTGCTTTCTTTAAACAGTCACAGCTAAGCACCAAGATTAACAGCTCATTGACATGTATAAACAGTCACATCTTTGCCATTGTTTTCTGGAAGCAGTTTCTACAAAAACGTTTTAGACAAAAGACTATGCATTGTTGTGATATCCTTTATCTGCATAGTCTTGTGACTCTAGGGGGAGGAGAGGGCAGCTCCTCTAACTCAATGGAGATGCCCTGATGGTTGCACTGATTACACAGATTACTGTGGCATAAAAATGGTCCTTCTAAAATTGTTCTGGTTAACACTAAGCCTAAACTGAAACTACAATATGATTCCCTATCCTGGGGTGTGGGGAGAGAGAAGGGACTGTAGTTATTCCAGTACCTCTTTATCTAGAGATTCCTGTGTCTGCCAAGGCTGAAAAACCATAAGGAATGTGCAGGGCTGGGAGAGGCTAAGAAAAGATGCAGATGTTAAAGCACAAGTAATGGTTTACAGTAGTTTCAGGCCTTGTCAGCAGTAAGGAAAGAACCTGGAGGAAGAAATTCGTGTGTATATAGTCCTGAGGGCTGTCTGCCACTCCTGCCCAAAGCTGTCAGATTTTTTTCCCCAGATACTGCTTTTGCCTGACTGCTAGATTTTTATCTTTCTGCATGCTCCCATCATTCCTGGTTTCAGCCCTCTAATCATGAACAACTGTGTAAGGGATGCTGATAAAGTTCTTCCCTTCAAAACCAGCAGAACTGGCCCAGAACTGAAGTTAGATCTGGCTTCAGATCTCTGCCTCTAGTTTTGGCTACTTCAAGTGAGCAGCTGCACGTGGCTAAAAGGACTCCTCCCAGTTGCATATCCCACTCATTTACAGCTGCATATAAAGATGTCATTTTTTTTCTCCACAAGCTCATACCAAGCTCTCTGCTAGTACCTTTCTAAAACATCCCAGCCCATATTGGCCCTAAAGGAAAATTTAACATTTGGCACTTGACTGTATTTATCATTTAATTTTAAAAAACACAGATAAAAAATGTGGGTTAGGTTTTCCAATTCTACATTCTCACTAAATTGATATGAGCAGGTCTCAAAGCACGTAAGTACCCCTGAATTCTAGTCTCTCCCATAGGTAGCCTTAGCTTTTAAATGTAGAAGTAACATGGCTCCTGTTACAATATAGCTTAGTTGAAACAGGTAAATAAATACAGTGGAAGTAGCACAAGTGGTAGGAGAGCTTAAATATGCTAATAGCTGCTTGGGTTGACTGACTGTACTTGACTTTAACAGCACAAATTACTGCTATGCTGCTACTTCATTAGAGGACCAGAAACATTTCTTTACCTGCCTTGTTTGTAGGGACGTCCATCGGGAGATGCTTTTATTCAGATGAAATCCGCAGACCGAGCTTTTCTGGCTGCACAGAAGTGTCATAAGAAGACTATGAAGGACAGATATGTTGAAGTCTTTCAATGTTCTGCTGAGGAGATGAACTTTGTATTAATGGGGGGCACTTTAAATCGAAATGGCTTGTCCCCGCCACCATGTAAGTTACCATGTAAGTTTTGCATGAGTCTTGCCAATACTCTACGCTATGTGTGGGTAGGTGTTGGAGCTGCTTTTTTGACTCTGATTCTGGTTCTTGGAAAGGAGTGTCAGGTGGGAGTATTAAAATAAGGTCTTCATCTTAAATAATCGGCAGCTTGCAATCATTATTTTTCCCTTTGGTTGTGTATTACTATGACTGAAGAACTATTTTTAAATTACTCTTTCTTTTCCAGTGGTAAATATCCCTTCCCATCCCTGAAACTTAACTTGCTCAGGGTGAGCCATGACTCTGAAAAGTGTCTTGTAAGCCCTGCCTAGACCTTAAAGAACTGTTTCCCATTTAAACTGATTTGTGTTTACATTTTTCACCATGGTGAACATGTCAAGTAAAAGCCCTTCCCCTTTCACTTCCAAAACTTAATTTATTAAACCATTGGTAATGCACTCCTTTGGGACTTAACCACAAGGGTTCTGCCTACTGAACCACTACTGACTGAACTCTTCCTTTGCTTTTTGTTGTTCATACAGAATTGAGGTTGCCTATGTGGGAGTAAAATACACATAGCTTTGGCCTCAGAGAATTGCAGAAATTGTATTTCATGTAAAATTATGCTCATCAGAGCTACTAGGATGAACATGGACTTCTAGACAAATATTTGTGGGAAACGCTTTAAGAGCTTATGGGCTAACTTACTAAGCATATGTGCCATATAAATCTGAACCTATGGGAAAAATAATGCTTTGCTTCTAAGATCATAAATGGCAAAGTAGTAAAGTAGGAGCTTTCTCTCTGTCTCTATGCAAAAGTATTACTGTTGGTGTCTTTTTAAAGTGTCCTCTAAATCCTAATCAGAGCTGTCAATATAGCAGCAAACTTCTTGGGTGTGGTTCCTTCTGAGTGTGAGTAGGGATCTGCGGTATGTAGTCCTATGTGTGACAGCTGTTCCAGACAGGGAATGGAAGCTTCTCCTGAGATCTCCTAGAACAGGTTCTTGAGCAGTCTCAAACTTTGGGAACTCTTAGGTGGCAGTGTTCCCATTTCCAACTATGGATGCCCGTGATGCGTTCCTCAGATAAATCCTTTCTGCTCTCACTGCCGCATGTCACAATGTAATGAGATGCTGACTGTCATTTCAAGCCTCTATTTTTGCTATTCAGAGTTACCTAAAGCTTTTATATGTTCATGTTTATGGCACTGGGGAGGGGAAGATGGAAGGAGAAAGGTGAACTCTAATCAGTGAGAATTCATTTAGGGCCTCGCATCTTGTTGATCCACCACAAAGTGCACTTTTGTTTTTTTTAAAACTTTGTTAACACTTAAAGCTGGAAAGCCATTTTTTTTACTCTGCTGTTGGTTAATTGAATACAGAGGTGTTTGGGGGATAAGGATTGTCAGGATGAAAAGGTGTCCTCTGCTCTAAGGAATGTTAGTTAGCTCTTTAGCACAGAAGTTTCCTTATTACAGTGGAGAAGTCTCACACTTCTTGATTGGAGACTTTGTTAAAATCTGAGCCTAGACAAGAAAAACTGGCCTCCTTTTCAGAAAGAGACCCCATTCCCAGAGCAAGAGGTGGCTTTTTGTGTATTACTGACTTTGCTTTTGACTGGGGGAGCATGCACAACACTTTTAGTCAAGCTCACATTGGTGGCTCAGATTTATTTTCTGTGATGACCAAGAGAATGAGAAGCTTGTGAAGGCAGAGTTGTTCACTTAATGAAGACCATATATATGCTGGAGTTCAGAAGGTCCTAATCTATTTTCCATTTGTTCCCTTTAGGTCTTTCACCCCCTTCCTATTCCTTCCCGGCTCCTGCTGCAGTTGTGCCAACAGAAGCTGCTCTGTATCAGCCATCTATGCTCTTGAACCCGCGAACGCTCCAGCCCTCCACAGCCTACTACCCTGCTGGGGCTCAGCTCTTCATGAACTACACAGCATACTACCCCAGGTAAAGCAGAGGAGAAATCAAGCAGGAACAAAGAAGTCTTTTTGCAGCAAATGCACAAAGCTCACAAAAGAACATTGTCTGACTGCCATGCTACCAAGAGCAGCTTGTTTGGTATCTTGTTCAGGGAAACATTTTCAGGATATCTAGGGATTTCCCAAGTTTTAGAGTATATCAGGTAGTGATGATTTTAAAAACAAAAAACAAACAAACAAAAAAACCACAAAACAACAAAAAACAAACCCACCCAAACAAACAAAAAAAACACACACACACAAAAAAAAAAAAAAAAAAAAAAAAAAAAAAAACACACCAACAAAACCACACCACCAAAAATGTAAGTCACACAGTTACAGTGGGATTTTCTTGATTTCTTTTTTCACGTAACATGTCTCTTAAACTTGTTATTTTGCACTGTTTTGCCCTCAGTGGGAGTTGGTGTATGCAGTATCTCTTCCCATGTCCATAAAGAAGCCCTTGGCCACTCTTTAGAACAGGTGGATTGGGGTCTGCCTTAACAACTTCTGAAGTTCTGCCTCTTTGTAATAAAGTAACTTTTGACCTTTATGGTGAAAACTCTGTTTACTTTTTATAAATAAATACTATGTTGAAACGTACATATTGAATGCATATGTAAAGAGGCATATATTCTTCCTGACCTCAAACACCTCTCACAAAGGGCTTTTGGCTCTTCTGCATATATTAGCTATCTTCTACAGAACAAAAACTCTTGATATCATTTGCCCTCTGAAGTCATGAGGCCTTGGAAAGAGCCATGTTCCCTGTAAGCCATAAACCATTCCTCAACTGTCAGGAAACCTGCTAAAGAACTCAAGTCTTATATTAGATTCTGACCAGTGCTTTTTTGCCCTGGAGATGGGTCCAAATATCTACTTATGAAATTGTTGAGCAATATGGACTCTCTAGTTACCCGTAAGATAACAAAGGTTTTCTTATTACTTTACACTAAACCAGTATGTCTGTGAGCTGCCTGTTGTGGTTTTTTTTTTATTAAAATGATTTCTTCACTCATGAGTTAATTTCTATAATGCCTTCAATGTGTGTCTTATGGTTATGATAATGTTACCAAACTCAGCTTCTTTAATGTAAGATCAAGAAAAATAAAATTTGAAACTTGCACTGGCAATATAAAACAAGTTTATCTAATAATAGTTCTATATGACATGAGAACACAATAGCAGTAATAGTTTGTAGTGACTTAGTCTGGCCACTGCAGGCTCAGCATCAGGCCCTACAAAGATCTCTTACTGAATGGTATCCCACAGGAGTCATATGCCCACAGCCCAAGCAGCTAGTCATGGATGTTGGTTACAGACTGACCAATCCCAAGTCCCAAAATATCCTTTTTATATTCTTATCTAACTGATAGTTATATACTATTCTTAGGAAACCATTCATATGTAGCTTCTGTGCCAATTATAAGTACCTCCCTTTTAAAAAAAAATAGGTAACCTTTCTGGAGTCAGCTTGGATTCTTTCCATGTTGTGAGATCTGGTTTTTGGATATCGCTTTTCTATCCAGAGTAAATGTTTAATCTACAGGCAAATTCTATATACTCCAATAGAAGTAATCCTTTGTAGCTGATATTTTGGTTTGGTTTGGTTTATTTTGCACTTTGTATTTTTTTCCTAAAAAATTAAGCTTTATTACTTTTCAGGTAAGTTCCCATGCATCATAAAGGATGCAATAAACAATTGGGTCCCTTTCACATAGCAATTGGAACTCTCTTAAGTGGACTGTTCTGGTTCTGAAATTTAATTCAAAAACAATGTTATGTGCGGCAGGAGAGAATGGGATATCCCCTGTACTAAGTGGTGCGTTTAAATGCATGTACATGGAAAAGCAATACAGAGCTGGTGGCTAATGATCAGACAATGGTTCATAAATCTAACTAGTGAATACTTATGGAAATAAGGAAAGTTTCTTTGACCTGCTGCCAAAAGGTTCTACCACTTGTATTTTGCAAGGTCAAGTTGCTTTCTAATAGCCAGTTCCATTCTCTGTGCAATAATCAACCTAGATGGGGGGTGGGGAGGGAAGCACTACTTTGGTCTTCAGTATCTATCTTTCAGTATCTATCAAAAATGCCTGAAGTTCTCAGATTCTTCTTAATGTTCTTATGGCTTTGGTGATGAAACCCAATGGTGTAAAGAAATTGATGCCTTCTGTACTATTAAAATAGCTTTAGTGAACTCCTAATGAAAAGGAGGGAGAGCAAGTTATTCGGGATCTGTCAGTCTTTGATATCTCTGTTCAGCTTTTAATTATATCTGGCAACATGTTCTGACAGCAAATCAGTGGTCTTTGGTCTCTGCCTAGTTCTAGGCTTTTGAGAAAAAGAACAATAGGATTCATGGGAGGGTGGAGTTTATTTCCTTATCTAATCCTGGATAAATAGGTATACTAGTCGCTGTATGTATATACACTGTCAGTAGTAAATAACTGTGCTACTTGGCCACTGCTAACATGTTCTATAGAAACTTTCACATACACAGACTTGAGAGTTACTGCTATGGTTTATGTAGTTTTAAAACAAAGTTAAATCTTATTGTATTTATTCAGTTCTAATGCCATTTTGATTACTTTTTAAGCAGCGCCTTTAAAACCTCTAAAGTTTCTGTCAAAATCCATAGCTGTAGGATCATACTTAAACTTTGTTCTTTTCTTTTTTTTTTTTTTTTTTTTTTTTTTTTCAACAAGTCTTTGAATAATGAAGTTAAAAATGGAGCTTCTTACTCAGTGGGTAGTATGCTAGTGGGACTTGTAGCCGAAAAGTGATGTGGAAACTGATGTAGGTTCAAACAAACTGGACAAATTCAAGGGCAGGAAATTCATTGTGAGTTAGTGAATACACAGAAACCACATCTGGCTCAGGAAGTCCTTGAACTCAGCATAACTGGAAGAGTGCTCTTACGTTCTGTGTCCTATGGTAAATTCTTGTGCTATTGAACCAAGGTAGGTAGGTGAACTTGTTTGTTCACAGCTTTGAAGTAGTCCTTCTCTTGAGATACAGGTACCACTTGTGAGAGTGGGTTTTTTCCAATGTGCTTGTAGTTGTATTCTGTTATGCTAGTCTAACAGTGGCTAAATTTGGAAATACAGGGTAATTTGGTACTGTCTCATCTGTCTGCTTTTTATTCTTCCTGCTATAGATTAAGTGTGTTTTTTTCTCATTATATACTATTCAACTTGTAGAAGTATTTATATATACTATACACATATGCAACATACATATAGCATTAATATATATGTATGCATACATACATAAAAAGCATGTATGTATAAAAATAAAATGACCAAGGTTAGAAAAAAGCCTCACTTGTTCTCCATGGTGGTCATTATGGAGGAACTGAGACATCACAGAACAGAAATGAGGCTTTTTTCTAACCTTGGTTGTTGTTCAGATCTGTATTGAAGCACAATTAAGTTACAAGTTTAAACTGACAAAACTAGGAACAAGTGGGCTGGATTAGGAGTAATACCATTCAGAGCTGCTGCCAGCAACTTTATTTGCATATCTGTGTGTCTGGCTAACTGGCATCACTTGACAGAACTGGGTTAGGAAACAACCATATGTGTTTTTAGCCCGGGAGATCTGTCACAGATGGAGAACAGCAGCAGCCAGAAACAAAACCTCTTCATCAGCTTAGTTGTACTCATAGCATCATAACAACACTCTGTACCACAGCTCTTAGACTGTAGTACTCTTTTATTATTATTATTTATTATTATTATTTTAATTTTTATAAAAAGTATCTAAGCTTGTGTTGCATGAGATCACATCTGCAGTGGATGGGCTCACTGAGCATAAAAGCCTACTGGTGGCTTTTACTTGGTGTCCAGCAAATGGAGTTCATATGCCTACATCAAGTGGCAGAATTTGGGACTCTTCACTACCGATCCTTGCTCATGGCACACCAGTCTCAATCATGGATTTTTCAATCTTATTGGCATCACAGAGATGAGGTAGGATGGCTCCTATGACTGGAGTGCTGAAATGGAAGGATGCAGGCTCTTCAGGAAGGACAAGCAGGGGAGATGAGGAGGGGGTGTCACCCTCTTATGTCAGTGACCAGCTGGAGTGCGTGGAGCTCTGCCTGGGGATGGGTGAGGAGCTGACTGAGAGCTTATGGGTCAGGCTTAAAGGAGGGCAGGGACAGGAGACATTACAGCGGGGATCTGCTACAGGTCACCCAACCAAGATGACCAAGTAGATGAGGCCTTCTATAGACAGATAGGAACAACTTAATTTTCACAAGCTCTGGTCCCCACAGGGGACTTCAGCCACCCCAATATCTGCTGGAAGGACAACGCAGCAGGGCATAAGCCATCCAGGAGGCTGCTGGAATGTGTTGATGATAACTTCCTCCTTCAAGCGATAGAGGAGCCAGCAAGGAGAGATGGTATGTTGGACCTTGTTCTCATCAAAAAGGAGGGGGTTGGTGGGGAGTGTGAAGCTCAAGGGCAGCCTTGGCTGCAGTGACCATGAAGTGGTGGAGTTCAAGTTCCTTTAGGGTAGTGAGGAGGGTGCACCCTGGAGTTCAGGAGAGTAGACTTTGGCCTCTTCAGGGATCTGCTTGGTAGAGTAGCATGGGATAAAGCACTGAAGGGAAAGAGGGGCCAAAGAAAGCTAGTTAATAGCTAGTATTCAGGGATAACATCCTCCAAGGTCAGGAACAATGCATTCCAACAAAGTCAGGTAAGAACACCAGGAGGCCTGTATGAATAAACAAGGAGCTTCTGGACAAGCTCAAACACAGAAAGGAAGCCTACAGAGGGTGGAAGCAAGGAAAGATTGGCTGGGAAGAATACAGAGATGTTTGAGCAGCCAGGGTTAGGAAGGCCAAAGCTCTGTTAGAATTAAAACTGGCTGAAGATGTCAAGGGCAAGAAGAAAAGTTTCTATAGGTATGTCAGTGATAAAAGAAAGACTAGAGAAAATGTGGGCCCTCTCCAGAAGGAAATAGGATACCTCGTTACAT